CTTCCCTCTGTGGACGGGGCCTGATCTCAGCTGGGGAGATGAAGGGAAGTCCTAGTGCCTGGATCCATAACAGGCTGGAAAGAGAGCTGGCTCCAGATGACAGCTCAGCTTCTGAAGGGACAGGCCTCCCTGTCTCTCCTCCTCTTCTTTTCTTCACTTAGCATACTATTAAGGACCTACTGTGGACCAGGCACTGCCCAAGGTAGTGGTAAGCAAACAGGAATATTCCTGTCCTCTTGCAGCTTATGCTCCATTGGTGGAGAAAGGCACTAAACAAGGGAACAGAAAAGGACACATCATTTTAGCATGTGTTAAGGGCTGTGAACGGAGAGAGCAGGTGCTCCAAGAGACAAGAGGGGATGTAGGTTAGACTGGGTGGTCAGGGAAGGCTGCCGGGAGGAAGAGACTGTTAATTTGAGAACTGAGGGGTGAATCTAGGCCTGATGAAGTGGGTTCTGTCCCCACTACCAACGAGAGGGTGCTGGTGTGGGAGTGTAGGGGTCCGGGCTTTGGTTCGGGAGTGACATGTGCTTGGGCGAGTCTTTCTCCCCACAGGGCCTGAATTTCCCCAGCTCTTAATATTTAAATGCCTTCCAGCACTAGCCTCCTGGACTTTATGATCACGCGAAGCATCCTTGCTGGGCAGGAGCCCACCTGTTCAGTCAGGGCAGGAGTCACTCACCTGGTGGTGTGGCCCGCGGCACAGTAAAGCCTCTGGTACCGCTGAGACTGCTGCTGCTGACAGGCAGGGACACTTAGCGCCGAGTCATGTTCAGGGCCTGTTTTAGCAACACTGCTGGTAAATATTGACTCTGTGGCATGAAAGTGGAAAGCAGAGATGACTGCATTAACTCACTCAGAGGGTAGAAGTTCACTGAGCCCTGATAAGACAAGATGTAGTTATGCAATATGTAGGTGTGTCACCAATAAATATGTTGTTTAGAGGTGGGGAGAGTGGAAAACAGGACAAGGAAGCCGTCATGGGCAATCTGTGGCTGCTTCCCTGTCGCCAGCTTCATCTTCTTTTTGTTTTCAAACACCCTTGAGGCATATAGAAAAATAACTGGAAGGAAATACACAAAACATTTACTGTGGCATTCCCTGGAGATGGTGAAATTGCCACTAATTTGATTTTTTATATGCTTTCTTTTTTAAAAATATATGTTTTTATTGATTTTTTTAGAGAGAGAGGAAGGGAGAGAGAGAGAGAGAGAGAGAGAGAAATATCCACATGAGAGAGATACATGGATCAGCTGCCTCCTGCATGCCCCTCACTGAGGATCGAGCACACAACCCAGGCATGTGCCCTGACTGGGAATCCAACTGAGACCTCTCAATCCACTGAGCCACACCAGCTGGACTCATATGCTCTTTCTATTTTTCACACTGTCTATAATGATCACATATTATTTGTAATCAGAAAATGGCAATGTATTATAAATCAAATATTTTTCTTTGAAGGGTCTGAACTTTCAGAACTTTCCAGATCCCTCAGGTCATTGTGTTTTGCCTACTGGACATTGTGTAGTAACATGGCTGTCAAGAGAAGAGGAAAGTCCATAGGAGAGAACTTATTCTTCTAAATAAACCCCGATCTAAGTGTGTTTACTTAATGATTTGTACTCATGAAAGCAGAATGTGGTGGGAAAAATGCCAATCACTTGAGATTTCAGGATTTCTTTTCTAAGTAAACAAACACTTGCTGTTTGGAGTGTTTTCTGTTTGCCAACCCTGTACTCCACAATGCCCAGGCCAGCCCCAGAACAGGGCAGGTCTGAGAACTGGACACTCTGATGAGTGGTTACATGTGAGCTGAGGGTAGGAGGAGCCATGTATGGAGGAGGGACTAGGCCTTAGAATTTGTAGCATGGGATTGGGGTTGCCATTATAATAATAATTACCATAGCCCTGGCCGGTTTTGCTCAGCAGTTAGAGCATCGGCCTGTGGACCAAAGAGTCCTGGGTTTGGTTCCCGTTAAGGGCACATACCTTGGTTGCGGTTTGTCCCTGGCCCCGGTTGTGGTTGTGCGGGAGGCAACCAATCAATGTGTCCCATGTTTCTCTCTCTCTCTCCCCCTCTTACTCTGTCTGAAGATAAATGTAAAAATATCCTTGGGTGAGGATTAAAAAAATAATAATAATAATTACCACAGATTAAACACCAACCATCTACCAGGAGCCTTTCATACATTATTACTAATCTTTAGAAAACATTGTGTGATAAGCATTAGCTTACCTTTTAGGGATGAGAAAACCAGGGCCAGGAGAGTAAACTTCCCAAAGGCCCAGAGCCAGTCAGCAGCAGACCCTGGGTTCAAACCCATGTCCGCCTGACTACAAAGCACTTACTCTTTCCACCACACGAGGCTGCCTCTCAATGATTTGGGTTTTGCACTAGAGAACAGAAATGTCCAAAGGGAGCCTGAGCTAACAAGGTACATGCATTGAGGGTCTTTGGGGAAAGAGGCAGCCCCAAGTGTGAAACATGGAGAAGTAGTGCAGGTAGAAGCCTAATCTGTGAGCCCTGAACCCAGGACTGAGGGTTTTTGCTCACTTAGGGTGACGCAGCAGGCCTGGGGTTGGGGGCGGGCACAAAACCGTGGGACAGGTGGGCCTTTTTAAAAAAGAAAATTGTTTTTTCTTTATTGATTTTATAGAGAGAGTAAGGGAGAGGGAGAGAGAGAGAGAGAAACACTGATGAGAGAGAACATTGATTAGCTGCTTCCTGCATGCCCCCCACTGGGGATCGGGCCCACAACCTGGGCCTGTGCCCTGACCCGGAATCAAACTGGCAACCTCTTGGTGCATGGGTCAATGCTCAACCACGGAGCCACACTGGCCAAGCTAGATGGGCCTTTTTTGAGGCTCCTCTGGTCAGTCCAGAGGGCCCTCCATCCTTGGACTACTTGTGCGATAGGGGCGGCCTTTTGTTGGGAAGCAGGATATTGGAGCATGGTGTTGCTCCACCAAGGTCTGTGGGTGATTGGTCTGTAGGCCTTCTTTGTACCTAGTTAATTAAAACAACCTATAGCCCTGGCCCGTTTGGCTCAGTGGTTGAGCGTCGACCCCTGCACCAAGATGTCACCAGCTGGATTCCCGTTGTGGGCCCGATCCCCAGTGGGGGGCATGCAGGAGGCGGCCCATCAATGTTCTCTCTCATTGATGTTTCTATCTCTCTCTCCCTCTCCCTTCCTCTTTCTCTAAAATCAATAAAGAAAATAAATAAATAAAACAACCTATAGAGGAGTTTCATGGTTGTTTAGCTGGATTAGTAGAGCTAATTTCTGAGTCTGTGGCTCCCAGTCCAGTCCTCAGAGCCCTTGGAACGGGCCAGGAGCCTCCCTCCCTCCTCGCCCTCCCCCTCTGGAGCTCTCCCTACCTGCGAACATAACTGGAGAACGCTGTGCTGGCCCCTCACTGGGGAAAGTCTGCCTTGGAGTTTGATTTCAGTTAAAGTTGGTTTCCATTGATTTTATTTTCTTAGGAGAAAAAATGTGTGTTTTGGGGGAGGTACTGAATTGTGGTGTGGGGTGTTTTTTTTTAAAAAAAAAACACTATTATTTTTGGCCCAAGAAGCTGAGCTGATTGAAGCCTAGCTGTACCCTTTATGGAAATGTCTTATCTTGTGGTTCTCCTGAGCTGTGGCTAGAGTATTTTTGATTTCCTGGCAAAGCCAGATAGGACTTTAAAATTTGATGGAGAAGGTTTTCAAGTTACCGAAATGGAAAGAAGCATTGGCATTGGTACGCTCCTCCCTGGTCCAGGGGTTTGTGCTCCTCTGGGGCTCCCACCACTGTGCGCATCTTTTGTGGTTTTTTTTGGTTTTTTTATCCTCACCCGAGGATATTTTTCCATTTTTTGTACAGATAGAGTGGGAGGGAGAGAGAGGAAGAGAGAGACAGGGAAACATCGATGTGAAAGGGACACATCAAGTGGCCGCCACCCGCACGACCAACCAGGGCCAGGGACAAACTGCAACCGAAGTACGTGCCCTTAGCGGGAACCGAACCCAGGTCTCTCCGGACCGCAGGCCGACGCTCTAACCGCTGAGCCAAACTGGCCAGGGCGCGTCTTTTGTTTTTTATGTAATCATGATAATCATAATAATTGCCTACACTTGTATGAAACTTTACAGTTTATAAAGCACATTCATATACATGATCTCATTTAATTCTCATGGCTGCACTTCTAGACAGGCAGGGTCTATTAACCCTCTTTTTCAGAGAGGTTACGTGGTCTGGTCACACAGCCAGGAAGAGGCAGTATCAGAAGTTAAGCCCAAGTCTTCTAACTCCAGACCAGGAGAGGCAGGAAGGTCTGCACACAGTAAGGTGCGGACCTGCCCTTGTCCTGGAATGCAGGCTGTCTGCACGGAGAGATGTGAGCACGGGAGACCTCACTGTGACTGTCCCGGGCCCAGCAGGGCCGACCTGTGTAGAAAATGGGACAACCTTTGAGGTTCAGTTTGAGGTTTTGCGTGGGGCTTTGCCTCTAAGGCCGTCTATGGTTGCTGTTTGGTCTTTATTATAATTTTCCTGTGAGACAGCAGGGTAGGTTGATCCTATCAGCCCCATTTTACAGATGAGAAAATGGATGTTTCAAGAGATTGGGTGAGTCACTCAATGTCATTTATGCATTATCCATGTAACAAATATTTATTGGGTGACTATTGGAGGTACATAGGGGACTGAGGTCACAGCTAGTACCGGGTAAGGAGGGACTTGAAGGCAAGTAAGAAGAGGGAACACAGCAGGTACTCGCCAACTCTGCAGAGTCAGAGTCCTTGAGGACGGCCCAGGTTGTCCACAGCAAGGAAACCAACGTAGGCTCAGGCCAAAGTTCCAGAAACACTTTGTTATTCTTGTAAATAATGATGACGATAATTGCTACCATTTATTGCACTCCTCTTGTGTAGCAAACTACAGGCTGGGCATTTTACATATGCTGTGTCTAATTGTCATAGTAATCTATGTGACGTGATTATTTATCCCACTTTACAGATGAGAACACTGAGGCTCAGAGAGGTCAGATCCTTGGGATCAAGTCACCGTGGGATAAAAATCCAGTCTGTTTGATTCCAAAGCCAGACCGCTTTCCACTGACCCACTGTTTCTCTGTGACAATGGACTCGGAGAAACTCGCTGGAGAGAGATGGTCCAGTTACCTGTGGGAAGCTCATGGATAACGAGGGTCAGGTAGAGAGAAGGGGCTGGGGTGGGTGGGTGGACAGGACTTCAGCTCTGGACAGAGGATTTTTAAGAGACTGTGGGCCCTGCTGCTGGCAGCCGGTGCCTGATGAGAAAGCGGGCCGGGGGTGGGGGAGGGGGCCGGCGGGGCAGGCTCCTGTTCATGGCCCTGCTTCCAGCTGGCCCGAAGTTCTCAGGAGCCGGAGGCTGCTATGTCCTCTCGGATATCCTCCTGGGAGGGTGGCATTGCCACAAGGCTCATGGTCCCTGTTACACAAAGATGAGCGATACCTTCTCTCAGAACCCTGGAAACCCCAGCCTGCTTTTCCTTCTCCCTTCCCTGCTGTGTTAGTTTCCTGGGGCTGCCATGACAAATGGCCACAAACTAAGTGCTTTAAGACAACAGACATTTATTCCTCACAGTTGTGGAGGGTTGGTTCCTTCTGGAGGCTCTGAGGGAGAATCGATTCCACGCCACTCCCTAGCTTCTGGTGGCTGTAGTAGTCCTTGGCTGGTAGAAGCATCTCTCCAATCTCTGCTTCGTCTTCACACAACCTTCTCCCCATGTGACCTTGTGTTTTTTGTTGTTGTTGGTTTTCTTTGGTATGTGCCCCTAGCGGGAACCAAACCCGGGACTCTCTGGTCCACAGGCTGACGCTCCAACCGCTGAGCCAAGGTGGCTGGGGCCCATGTGCCCCTGTGAGTCTTCTCGTCTGTCTAACCTCCCTCTGCCCCACTCTTACACCTGTTTTTGGATCTAGGGCCCACCCAGGTAATCCAGGATGATCTCATCTCAAGATACTTAAATTAGGTACATTCCAAAGACCCTTTTTCCAAATAGGTCACATTCACAGGTTCTGGGGGCTTAGGACATAGACATATTTTGGGGTCCACTAGTCGCCCTACTATCCCTGCCACCCCTTTCTTCTCTGGAGTTGCCTGAGACCTTTGGGGTCAGTGCCCTCACTGAAGGCTGGGCCCTGTGCCAATGCACCTGCCTCTTCTCCCCAAGCAGCTCCCTGAGCCTTATGGGTCAAGTGGGTCTTGGCCCCCTGTAGACTGACAGTAGGAGGCTCTTCTGTGAAGAGCTGCTTGTGAATGTCACAGTGATAATTCCCACCTGGAACAGGCTATCCTTGTCCTGCAGGAGAGAGGTGTCCTTATTATGGCAAGGCCCCGTGGGTCAGCCAGGCTGTTTGTCTCCTGCCCATCAGCTGCTGGCACAGGTCCCTGACCATGTAATACCCTCTCCTGCCACCTCCCCTGACTTACCGCCCTGCCAAGATCTGCTCTGCTCCTCTGGCCTGATCGCCTCATCCTTCCCTGCCTGCCCCCTCTTATTCTATGCCTCATGCATCTCTGGTAACTCGTCTGTCCTCCTTTAGTTGTGGCACGTCAGAGATTTATTCGAGGGTCTTAGAGTTTACACACTGGGAGTACAGCTAGGCAAAAACCCAGAAGTGTTCTGAAGAAAGAAAAGTTGAGTTCTTGTAGTGAAAAGTGCATTCTTGTGAATAATCAGCCTTGCATTCTTAGCCCTAGGGTTGGTCCAGAGTGGTTATCAGTGAGATGTCAGGTCGTCTGGATAATGGATGTCAGGTGGATATTAGGTGGACTGGATATGTGAAGTCCTTGGGGGGTAATCAGAGGGTTATCTGGAGGTCTGATGTATATCTAGGCATTCACACGGGACTGGAAAGTTAAAAAAATTTACCCCTGGCTGGTGTGGCCCAGTTGGTGAATGTCGTCCCATGCACCGAAAGGTTGTTGGTTTGATTCCCAATCGGGGCACATGCCTGGGGTACAGGCTTGATCCCCGGTAGGGGGTGTTCAGGAGGCAGCCAATCAATGTTCCGCCCTCACATCGATGTTTCTCTCCCTCTCTTCTTCCCTCTTTACAAATCAATAAAAACTATTTTTTAAAAAGCTTACGTTCCAGGTTAGTTAGAACAAGAGTAGAGTCTTCCTCATGCCTCCACCTTCATAACGTTAATAACTTTAGCAGCCTGGTTGAAGTACCTCCATTTTATTTATATTCTATCTTCACTCTTTCCTCACCTCAAAGCCCCCTTTCAGGTTGAACACTGTTTGTCCACATAGCCCTCAGGTCTCTGAAGGGTCGAGTCTGATAATGGCAGGACCCGGACCTACAGGAAGGCTCTCCCTGTGCCTGAGGTAGGCTGAGTCGCCCACTCCTTCACCTCTGCCCCGGCTCTGCTGCCTCCTCAGGCAGTGTTCTCCAAAACAAACTGCAGGAGGATCACACTTTCTTCTCTTAGCAGTCTAAGGGTAACCCCACTTCCTGAGGGTCAGCTTCTCTGGGAGCGGGCAAGGCCATCATGGAGGCCAGTAAGAGGACAACGAAGTGAACGGACACTTGGTCCAAGTTGCTGCAACCTCAGGGAGGGCCCAGGGAGCCGAACCTCCCAGCCCAGAACCCTAGCCGGAAGGTGTTTCTGTCTAACAGCGCTGCCAGCCACACCCAAAGAAGGTCGATTTGCTAAGTGAAATGACTAATTAGTCCTGAAGCAGAGATTTCTATCTGCTCACAGTGGTATCATGACTTATTCATGCGAGGCTGGGACATTTACAGGGACTGGGCCCTTGTTTCCTGTAGCTTTCGTGTGATGGGCAGCCAACTGTATTTTTCCAGAATGGATAATTTCTCAGATCTAGCTTGCTTTCCCAGTGTCAGCCAGGAAACCTATAACTCTGATCACTTAAGAGCACCCTCCTTCTGGGTCTGCAGTCATTTCAGAAGGAATGCGTTCTTATCTGGGCCTCAGCTCCTTCTCTGGCAATGTTGGGGTTGGGCTCGATGGTATCTCAGCGCCTTCTAGCCCTCAGGTTCTTGACTTTTAAATTCTTGCCTCTTCCAGCAGCCAACCCTTCTGTTTTCTTAAGGTATTTGCTTCCATAGGGCTGCTGCAGGGTAATCAGAGACAGCTCAGCTGCTTGGAAGCCTCTGGCCCAATTTCACTTTCCTGCCCAATTACCAAGTCTTAAAGGCACCCATTGTTGTTCGAGCTGTTAGTTACTGGCCTTTGAAGATTGCACAGATTCACCTAATGTCTTCTGACTTTGGCTCCCTGCCTAAAATCTCTGTGATGAAGAACAAGATGCCAGCCTTTAGGAAGACTTAGGCAGGCTTACTCGAGTCATCTCTGAATCCCTTCAGGGTGAGGGAATAACGTCTCACTTTACAGGACATTTGCAATGTTACGATGACTGCTTCCTGCACTTTGGCTGTGGAATGAGTTGAGTCCTTAAGGATGTGGTTGCCACCTTGTGGATTGTCTAGGTGGGGATCGTAGGAGGTCCACAGGCCTCCTTAGAGGGACCAGGCTGTTAGGGGCTATGTCATGGTTTTGCTTTGCCGCTGTTCTTTTTTGTCTGTTTGACATTATGATCACACCAAAGATACTCTTTATATCCCATTTCCCCCAATTACATTACAATGTAAACATTTTTCTGTCATTCCCTTCATAAATATAGTTATTGGCCATGTGATGTTCCAGATTGAATTTTTAACATGATCATGTTTAACTCTTATAGTTGAAAAAGAAAACTAGTTAATTAAAAAAAAAAACCAAACCAAACAAAAAACAAATAGTGCATTTAAAAGTTTCCTTCCCTGTTCTCCTGAACCTCTCCAGGCCCAGTCCTCAGAAGTGACCATAGTTAAGTTTCTGTGTATCATTCCAGAAATTGTCTATGCATGTACAACCATATATGCAAATGCTGTTTTAAAAACTGTAGATGGAATTGTACTATACATGTAAGATGGGTTCAGAATGTTGTTCTGCAATTTGATTTTTTAAATAGATGGACCATAATGAACTTAACCAGTGCCCTTGTTGATAGATAATTAGGTTCTTACCATAATGAGCATCCTTGTACATACATTTACTCACCTTCTGGCTGCCAAGTATGGTTCTAGGCACTGAGGATTCTACAGTGAATAAGACCAACTTTTGTGCACCGCTCCTACCAGAATTGTCAGGTCAATTCTGGAGAGTAAAATTGTTGGCAGATTGATGATGCACATTTTTTTTTTTTTTCTTTTTTTTTTTATCCTCACCCGAGGACATTTTTCCATTTTTTGTTCAGGTAGAGTGGGAGGGAGAGAGAGGAACAGAGAGAGAGAGAGAAACATCGACGTGAAAGAAACACATCGAGTGGTTGCCACCCGCACAACCGACCAGGGCCGGGGACAAACTGCAACCGAGGTACGCGCCCTTAGCGGGAACCGAACCCGGGTCTCTCAGGACCGCAGGCCGACGCTCTAACCGCTGAGCCAAACCGGCCAGGGCGATGATGCACATTTTTTTAGTGCATCTGAGCCATGTAGAATATTTTATTGAGTGTTTGATAAACCAGTGGCTGCCTGAAACGTTCTCCCCTCCTCTGGCCCCAGGCCGTATTATGATCACCCTCTCCACAGCCTCCCAGGGTTAAAGGGCCATCTACGGAGGCTTCAGGAAGGTCACTACAGCAGTGATGGGTGGGGACAGTAATATGTGTTTGCTGCCACTTTTAAGGTTCACAGGGTACAGCTTTGCTGTGTCTTCATAACTGTGTGGGAAGTCAAAGTGTCTGGTTTGCACTTACAGAAGGAATGGGGCCCCAGAGAGTAAGGTTACTGACTAAGGTTGGTGAAGGGACTCCTAGCTCTCCACGAAGCTGGCTGGTGGCGAGGCTGGGATGAGGACCCAAGAAGAGGGCATTGCTTCCTGGGACCTCTTGAAGAGTTGCTCTGAGTTTCTGCCATTTAAATTAAAGTGCTTTAAAACATGAAGATAAATTCGTTTTTTTCTTTTCACTTACTGTGTGGAGATAGGGTTCTAAAGGACTTGCATTTCATAAATTTATTTAGAGCTGCTCTGTGCAATGCAGTAGCCACTAGCTACGTGTGACAATTTAAATTTAAATATAATTGCTCTGGCTGGTGCTCAGTGGTCAGCCCGCAGATCTATGACTCACGGGTTTGATTCCATTTAAAAGCGCGT